GCTAAACCCCGCCTCCACAGAAGAAGATCAACGCCTGCTTCTACATCACTGCCTGTTTAGCTCCGCCCACCAATTCATGCATGTAGTGTAAATAACGAGAGCGGCAAACGCAGGGCTACACAGAAATCAAACGATAAAGATGCTCCAAAAACAACAAGACACTGTGCATTGCAAAGTTGTGGAAATACAGTCTTTGCATCACCTTCCTTCTGATTCCAACATTAGGAATGAGTGGACAAACTTTATTTTTAATGAAGATCCAGACCGCGTCAGTAAGAACTTGGTACTTTGTCCAAATTCATTTTACCGCGGATTCATTTACAAACAAGGCACAATGCGACGCAGGATTTTCAGAGAGATTGAAAGACGATGCTGTGCTGAATATATTGGATCCGACAGTATGTCGCACCACACAAGTGTGAGTAACTGTTTTTTATTACATGATCACTATTGCTTTGTCTTATTACAGATTGTTCGAAATGTACTGAGTATTTATGCGTTTTTAACCTAAATCACAGCAGCTTCCATCTATTAAGGATATAGGCTGTCAAACATACACAACTGTTAGCCAATCATAGCAGTGGGCGTTTACTTCCGAGTCTACAATCCGCCACGCCTATTCAAACAGAGCGTTCCGATGAGGGGTCAAAACAGGACGAAAAATAGCCTATTCTAAATCATGATGCTTTTTGATGTAAAAAATCTGGATAACATTATAAGTGGCCCTCAGAGAACAGTACAAAATAATTTATTAAAAAAGGCAGTTAATGACCCCTTTAAATATGGATATTTTTCTTACACAAATGCACCGATTCACTTCACAAGGCATTTTTTAACCCCCCAGAGCCGTGTGGAGTACTTTTTATGATGGATGGATGCACTTTATTTTGCTTCAAAATCTTGATCACCATTCACTGCCATTATAAAGTTTGAAAGAGCCAGGACATTTTATAATATAACTCAGATTGTATTCGTCGGAAAGATATATACACCTAAGATGGCTTGAGGGTGAGTAAATCATGGGGTAATTTTGGGTAAACTATCCCTTTAAGGTATCAAAAAGAACATATTTCAGTCTTCTGAATCACCAACTTTGTATGAAAAAAAAACCTTTCAGTTCTTATAGTCCTGCATGATGACTACAATCATAATCATAATTGTTGATTATTCCCCTCGATATTGTAATCATAATTATTCATTTTATATTAAAATATGTATTTTATGATGAAAGCAGAAATGTCCAATTTGTAAATGAATCACGTCTCTTCAATGAATCGGTTGATTGAGTTCACCAAAAAAGTCTGAATGATTGGTTTGCAAATTAAAGTCAATACACTTCAACTCACTTGGCTCAATGATCTAGTTATAGTGGTTATCAGCTCTCTGCAGGGAAAGATCATCAGAAGATTAATGTAAATTTCAGTCTGTAACGAGCAACAAAGCAATTGTATAACTTCAGAAGAACTGGAATATACTATTTTAATGATACTTGATATTTTTATGATGCTTGTGCTTCATTTTTAAAGTTTAAAAATAAATGGAATAAAAAATTAATGGAGAAGAGCAACCAGCAAAGTCAAATGGGGTTGGCATAACAAATCCAGAGTTTTCATTTCTGGGTGAACTACTGTATTTGTATAATAGCTCAAGTTTTACACATAGGGTTATAGGTTCTGAGTTTGTATTGATGATAATATATATATATTTTTTTTTAAACACTATGCTATAAATAGTCAATGATTTAACAAATTGTCTCTCTCTTGTAAGGTTAAGTTTGGCCATCAGACACACTGACAGAATATTCTACAGGGGCCACAAGTGATGGATGAGAGGGGAGTGCTTGCATAATTCACAGAGAATTCACAGAGAATTAACAAGGGAAGATGAGAAGTTGCATGAAGTAGGTTCTATTCTCCAGTCGACAGGAGCTCATCTCGGGTCAGTGAGTCAAGTAGTGCAATCAATGCTTTCAATCCATCAAAACCGAAGAAAACTGCCAAACCATGTAGCTTTGATGTCAACACATGTAGCACAATACCCCAAAAGTTTATGCACAAAAAATGTCTTGTATTACCAATTCAGTGACAGCAGTCAGGATATTAATTTAGAGTCTTAAAGGGGTCATAGGATGCCCATTTTCCACAAGTTGATATGATTCTTTAGGGTCTTAATGAAAAGTCTGTAACATAGTTTGGTTAAAATTTTTCAATGGTAGTGTAAAAAACACCTTTTTTACCCTGTCAAAAACAGCTCTTTTCAGATCAAGCCGTTTTT